GGATCAATAAGAGATGATCCTTACTGGACCTCTAGGAAGAACAGTTTAGAACTGATAGAGCTATCCAGTATAAATAAAGTTAGTTTAGTTTGGGTTTCTTCCTGTAGTAACACTGGATCAATAAGAGATGATTCTTACTGGACCTCTAGAAAGAACAGTTTAGAACTGATAGAGCTATCCAGTATAAATAAAGTTAATTAATTAAAAAAACAACATGTTTTCTTTCTAGGTTTCCATGGCATATGAACATGGTGCTCGAGGTGTAATCTTGTACTCAGACCCCGCAGATTACGCGCCATATGGCTCCAACTCCTGGTGGTTACCTCCTGATAATGTACAGCGAGGTTCTGTTTATCCCGGGCCATCCTTTGGTGATCCTCTTACCCATGGATTACCCTCAATACCCGGCATGTACCGTAGTCCACGTGATGATGTGAGTCTGCCAACCATTCCTGTGCACGTCATCACTTATGAAGAAGCTGAACAACTTCTTCGCAGAATGAAAGGTAAGTTTGATTATAATCCAAATTATCAACTCTCGCTTTTCATATTTTAAACAACTTTTGCCTGAAACTGTCGCATGCAACCTGTTTACATTACGGAAGTGTAACGCAACGTAATTTTATGTTGCTTGCCCGATTGGGCAAGTTACCTTGCCACAAAAAGCTGGGCATCTTTAAGTTTATGTTTTCATTGTCGGATAATTTTTTTATAGTGCATGTACTTGATTCAAATTTTGTTTTTTGTGGGGTATAACATAGCCATATAGAGCAGTGAGAGAACGGGTCGACATGTTGTCCACTTAATTTACACCCCCTACCTAGCTACCCCAGTGGCCATTGTTTGATGGCAGGTGAATTTTATTCAGCGCAATAAATTTTCATGTCTAACTTGCCGTGAAGGCAAGTGGTCAAGAAAATAAAGTTACATCACTGCTTACAACCTGAGCTGTACTGTCTAAATCAAGTTCACAACCTAACTACATTGTCGTAGATGAGTTATAACTCCATTTGCACACTGCAAATCAAGTTATAAGCACTTTACATGCGACAGTTTCAGGCAAACATGTCGACCCGGTAATCAAGTGAAACCATCGAAAATTACAATGAACCATCAATCTTATCGTTTAAACGACGATTATATAATTAGGTATAAAATTGATGCTAATACTGATACTAACTTTGTAAATAGTCTTTATTTATTTGTTTATATATATTTGTGTTTCATAGCTTAGTATATTGATAGATACACGGCCCTTTGAAAACCAGTTTTGTAAATAATTATCCACTGAATAGGCTACCGTGTCTAAAGAATTTTAATTAATAAAGATTAAACGTTGTGTAGTGCAAATCGGTTTTTTGCCTCATTTTCAGTCTTGGGGCAATTGTAATTATTTTTAAAATGTGTTAAAATAAGTGTATTTGTCAATATTCAGGCCCTGAGGTCCCAAAAGAATGGAAAGGTGGTCTAAACCTGACATATCGTTTTGGTCCAGGTTTCCAAGAATCAGGACTTCGCACGAGATTAGAAGTAAATTCTGAGAATGTTCTTAAGAATGTTTCGAATGTCATTGGTACTATAAAAGGAAGTTTGGAACCGGACCGTGTAGTTCTAATTGGTACACACCGTGATGCTTGGGTTAATGGAGCTGTAGACTCAGTCAGTGGTACGGCAGTGATCATGGAGTTATCACGTGCTGTGGGCGTGTTATTGAAATCAGGTTGGCGCCCGCGACGTACTATAAAATTCTGTAGCTGGTCAGCGGAGGAATATGCGCTTATTGGCTCCACGGAGTATGTCGAGCAAAATTATAAATTCCTGTCGGACAGAGCGGTAGCTTATCTAAACCTCGACCTTGCTGTCTGTGGAAATTTTACACTGATGACGTACTCAAGTCCTTTACTGAACAACCTAATACGCGGTGTTGTGCGCAATATAAGTGATCCATATGACGACAACAGAAGTTTGTATGACGTCATGCTCGAGCGCAATCCTGCTCAAGGGGGACTGGAACCCAGATTGAGAACACTTGGAACGTTCAGTGACTACGCGTCGTTCTATCAGTATTTGGGCGTCCCGTCTATTGATTATGGCTATTTCTTTATTAATAACAAAAAACAGGCAAGTCCTTACCCTGTATACCATGCACTAGCTGATACTTATGACTGGATTAAACAATACATAGACCCTGATTTTAGGCTACATTTAACACTCGCGAAATTAGCAGCTACTTTTCTACTGCGTTTGTCTGACGAACCACTACTGCCGATGAACAGCATTTCAGATTATACCCAAGTACTCAGACTGTCATTGAAATACGTTGAAGCCCATTTTTCTGAATTACTGCAAAGTCGAAATATCTCACTTGAATTTCTAAGAAATGCTGTAGAAACGTTCGAGAACGTTTCCTTGGAATTCGAGGAACATTTGGCGTCGTACAAGAACGAGAAAGATTTTAGAAAATTACGTGTTTTGAATGATCAGATGATTCAAGTGGAGAAGGCGTTCCTCTACCCGGCTGGTTTGCCAGGAAGACGAGAGTTTAAACATCTTATTTTCGCTCCCAGTCTTTCCAATGTCTACTCCGCTGCCTCGTTCCCAGGCGTGACGGACGCTCTGGCACAATGCACTCAGAATGCAACGCTGTGCAGTGACATTGAATTTCAAGTATCGCTTGTGACACATAATATACAGCAAGCCGTGGCTATGATGAAACCGATTTTGTAGTGTTGCGTTTTGTGAATAATTCTAAGTTACAGTAGCTTACTAAGTAGGGTGTAGTATTTGAATATAGCTGGGTTGCAATGAACATTACGGATCGGATTTACACTATCAAAGTTTCTGTGATCACAGTAAGAATTTTGCATATAGGCAGACATTCCAGCTCTCCCGATTTTACCGGGAGTCTCCCGAAAATTCATGCAGTCTCCTGGTCTCCCGATTTTTATGAAATTCTCCCGATTTTTCAGAATATTCAGGAAATATCGTAAAAAATCATAAACATAGTGTTTTTAGCACCATAATAGTCTGTCTTGACCTTTTTATGAAGTGACTTTATGCGGCAATTTATAGGATCACTTATACTCCCAAAATGCAGGAAACGCCATTTCAGAAGACTTAATTTTTATTATTTTTCCCAGAAGAACTAGATTTCAATTCATTGAACCAGTCTCCCTAAATTTTACCTCCAGTAGTTGGAATGTCTGCATAAGTGAGTTGAAGAGTTGTTAGAAATGTTTAAGGGAATTGACTCGGTATTTAACACTGAGTCCCCTCAAACATTTCTTACAAATCTTCAAAACTAGCTTAGAATTTACCTTATTACCCATGCAAAATTCCTACTGTTATCACCGAAACTTTGATAATGTAAACTTAGCCTTTTAAATACAATAGGAGTGAAACAAATGAAATTATCTCTTTCAATCAGGGTTTATTTTAAGAAAAATTTAGAACTGCACATATAGTGATGTTACGAAGGCAACAGGAGCGAAGGCTCTTAGTTCTGGCAAAGATTTGTTCACCCAACCACTCACAAAAACTGTTTCAAAACATGTAACTGGGAATCATGGATATTCAATAAATAACAACCGTAAATTTGCATTTGAGGCAGCAATGAATATTAGGAGTCCTTCCCCAGAAAACGTTTATATTTTTGATGCTCAATTAACATGATGACAGCAATTCTGGAATTTTCTGGAGCATCCTCAAGGGTAACGAGTAAATGAGAAGACTGTTTTAAGGCTATATTTGTTAGTTTGGTGACTGCACATTTGTGTTTTAAGAACTGCACAAATGGGTTTAGTACTGCACATTTTGTGTAGAACTGCACGTTAAAATAAACCCTGCTTTCAATTCTGCCAAAAAATAGAAAACTACTACATTTCTCACTCTGATAATTGCAAGTTTGACCACCATCAGCTTTACGATAGTGCTTTTTATTAGGAGAGGCAGGGATCAACATCAAATTGAAAAAAAACTTAATTCAAAATGTTGACTGTTCTTTAGTCTTTCAATTTAGTCTTTAGAAATCATAAATTTGAATGAATTCTACTTAATTTCACTAGTTCATGTTCTTTCGTAATTCATTTTAATACTGATGTAACATATTTAATTAAATGTTGTAAAAATCTTAGTTAGAAAAGACAATGAACGCTAGGTATTGTTCGTATGATCGTGTACATACTTAATTTTTGAGTCAAAACTTGGATAACTTGTGCTCGTGAAGTACTGTTTTGTAAAATCATTTCTCACAAGAAATACACTTAAATTTTGAAGTCTTGTTTTTTCTTTAATCTTCAATGAAACTACAGCAAGATAAAGAAAGAGGTTCATATTGTTTTAAAAAATTAACCTATAATAATTTTAAAACGTTAATTTTATATTCAAAATGGCGGAACGCGGCGTCTCTGAAAAGACTGGTGCGAGAAGAACGTGACGTCACAGGAACGTCTTTGGACGTCGCTTCGTCGCGTGAGAAAATTTGGAAATGGGCATATTTTTAATATTTGAATATTTTTGTTTTATTTTACTTATTTCTACCGTACAAGTAATGAAGAAAATTACACTACAGGTAAAGTAAATGTTTGTTTATGTTTAGAAGTGTTCTTTTGTTTGTTTAATTTAATAACTCATTAATTATAAAGGAGTTTAAATTTGACAATTTAAAATTCATTTTCTTCTAGACGAAAGTTTGTGTAACTGCAAAGGTTTGCTGTCGCTTTCTCCAGTACAAGACGAAAGAAACAACTAACGTAGGTTGAAAAATTATCTTTTTTAAATGTTTTTTGACAAAGCTTTCGAGTACAAGCGCTTATACAATTAATTTGTAATGCTCAATTCCGAGCATATTTGTTGCCAATTAATAGTTATTTGTAGTTCGCGAAAAGTTAATATTTTGGCCACGCTTGCACTGTATACCAGTGGCTTTCCGTAGCGACGTGAGAAACACTTAACCGTAGCTTTTAGGAACGTTATTTTCAGAGGAATTTATTGCAAAGGAAAGATGTTGTTTCGCTCAGCTTATGAAGTTGTACATTCCGTATCGGATAAGTACTTTTTCCCGCCACAACGGGAAACTATCTGGTATAGTGGGAAACGTAGCCACAGTTAGGTAGTATTCTATGATAAACTCGAACGGTCTTGTGCCCGCTTAAGTAGGGATAAAAACAATAGGAAACTGCAGATGGCTAGGGATGCAACTAGCTGAAAAATCCAAGGAGAACTACGACGTTTTAGCGAAGGCGCTTGACTGTCTATGTTTATAAACTTCCCGACGAACGAACGAAGCGCCGTCGCTCGCAACGTCGAAGTTCTCCTTGTAGTTTTCAGGTAGTTGCATCCCTAGCCGTCTGCAGTTTTCTGGTGCTCTGTGGTTTGTGTGTGAAGTGCCTGAAAAAGAACTTTTCATCAGTTTTAAAATGACAGGTAGGCCGGCACAAACCACAACGTTGTTAGCTTTTTAGACACACGACAGCGAGCGACGACGTATGGGCCGAATGATTTTCGACACGCAAATGAACCCATTTGCATTATAGACTAAATTTTGATCTAGACAAAAATTTCATCACAGCTTGAAAGGGCACTATCACAAAATTGCAAAGTTTCGTTGCGAAATGTTGTAAAATGCGGATAATATAGCCATGGGAAGTTTGCCGTTTTCCAGTCATTTTGTATTACGCGCGGAAATTGACAGCCGAATCGGGTGTTGGGGCATCAATTTCCCGTTTGTAATCTAAAATGACTGAAAATTGCAAACTTCGCAAGGCTATATTATCCGCATTTTACAACATTTCGCAACGAAACTTTGGAATATTACTAATTTTGTGATGCTCTTTCAAGCTGTGATGAAATTTTTGTCTAGATCAAAATTTAGTCTATAATGCAAATGGTACGACAAATTCCATCCATCCAAAGAATCATTTCTCCTGAACAAAAGAATCATTTCTCCTATATAACTGAAAAAATAATTTATCCTATTAAAACAAAAGAATAATTTCTCCTATAGTTCAAAACAATAACTTCTCCTGGCTGTAGTATATAGAAAAGAATAATTTCTCCTATACAAAATATTAATTTTCCGTGGCGTATTAGCATGGCGAAATTCGCTTGGGCGTTTCTTAAAAACTTTTGTCTGGCAGGAAAGTAAACAAGGCAAGGGGTCTATAAAGGAACGAAATATCTCCAGGCATTTGAAGAAGGAAACTGAATTTTGGTTTTAGTCAAAAAGTCTTGAAATGAGATTTGCAGTTCTAACAATATGGCGGAAACTATTTAATTCAAATCCTCAATATTTTACAAAGTCTCGCTGGCATTGGCGCTGTTGATGTTTATAGTTGGCTGGCTTCACCTCAATTATACTACACTGAAAAGTTTTAATTTGTGCAGGAATTTTTTTACCTTGAGAAAAACGCGCAGAAATGTTAGATATTTTCATGGTCATCAAAATTTAGTCTTAGAGAAAAATTTTAAACTAGTGTGGTCACTCCAGTTGTGTATATAAGTCACCATCGATGACTAGTCTTCATTGAGCCACCTTAACTTTGTGTGGTAATTCCAGTTGCACATACAGATCACCACCTTGAACAACACTTCAGAAAGCCACTTTAACATAGTATAGGTTGTGTTGTTAGTCCTAGTTTGTGTACTTATACCTGGCTATTTTAACCTCATATTAATATCATATAAAGTCCAATATTGTCTTAATTCTATGGCTATTCTTTGCTAACAGTTGGTCTGTCAAATATCCTGCTGAGAACTTTATGAAATTACTCTGCTATATTTAAACTAATTTGTATTCATGTAGGACATCTCTTGAACAAAACCATACTCCTCTGCCTCTGGCTTTATTATAGCCAATATATGAGATATAGTAGCAATTTTTTACAGATCAATACAGCGAAAAAAGAGCAGGAAATTTCCTCCTTAGAAACGTCTACTGTCAAGTAGGAACGTGTTGTTTTAGACAAGTTAAAAACATATACAAATCACAAAGTCAAAGTTTATAAAAACGTTTTCTAAAAGCACTGCGATCCTTAAAGTTATTAGATAGTTAATAGACTGATCTAGAAAACAAGCCATGAAAAAAGCATATATGCAGTCAAAACGAGGAATTATAGAATTTTTCTGCACATGAAATGTTTGTTAAGGACATTGGAAAAACTTCTTCAATCTGTACTTTGAGCCGATTCTGCTAGATCATGGTTGCTTTCGTTGTGACGAGTATTTTGCTCAAAATAATCCACAATTTTTTTTTCCAACCGAAATTTATTCATTCTCATTGTGGTTGTCTCCTGTGGTCGTTTACAATACATGTCAAATGCTACTGGTTAAGAAAGAAGCGATGTGGCTACTCTGTTGTACCCCCTAATGTCTTAAGAATTTTCGTACCAGTTTGTGAGCAGTGTTTTTACATTCTCTGAGGTTTTGTGAAGGTCGTAGCACAATCATTGAAAGCTGTGTTTTGCTGTATTCATTGTGCTTTGGTTAAAGAAAATTTACTCACAATACTGTATTGCGTTAGCTTGTGGTATTAAACTGTTTCTTAGTGTCCAGTAAGACGGCATTTGTGTTGGATTAAAGTGGAAATATAACGGTGGTGTAAGGCTACAAAGTCGACGTATTATACCCGAAAGCTGGTTTCATTAAACGGATTAATGTTCATTATTCTGCTGGCTGGAACTGGTCTTCAGTATTGAATGTGTGTTTATCCAATAGTCGTTTGTTGCTGAACGTTTTTAAACGTTTGCAGTCGAATGGGTTAAATATAAACCTTGGCGTTTGGATTTAGACCGATTCTCTGCTTCATGGTACAGCGGGATTTACTGGTCAGTTAAATATCAGTGATATCTATTTCATTCGTAGAAGACTTTCAACCTGACATTCTCGTTATTCCTGTACAAACTATTTACTTTTGGGAAGAGTTTAAGTACGGTTTAAACAATGAATCTTTCGACTCGAAGTCTCGATGTGACTACGAGTTCATTTGATAACCTCAGTACAAACCCAACCGAGAGTAATACACTCGCTTCGACAACGGACAGCAACCGACAGCTGATATTTCAAATCTTACTCTACATTATCGACGTCGCTATCATAGTTGGCAATTCGTTTGTGATCTGGTTAGTGGTTCGTAGGAAATCACTTCATACTGTGACAAATATGTTGTTGGTTTCATTGGCCATCTCTGATTTGATGGTAGGGATAGCGGTCATCCCGTCATTTGTCGCCTGTTTTCATGTGAAATGTGACGGAGTGTTGGCTAAAATGGTTTATGATTACTTTCTCTTTGTGTCAGTCGCTAATTTATGTGCTATAACCGTAGACCGGTATACGGCGGTTATGCATCCACTCAGATATCCAAATAAAATGACTCCACTCGCTGCAATACGAATTATAGCGATTGCTTGGATTATTCCAGCGATTCTCTCAATTCTCCCAGTGTCATGGACGTATTCTAGTACCTCAGTAGACAATCAAGAATTGGCTAATAAAGTCTTCTATACAATTCAAGTCATATTCTTCGTGTTAACTCCGTGTTGCCTCATGCTGTGGGCTTACTTCAAAATTTTTAAAGAAGCGGTCAAACAAGCTCGTCGGATTCATTCTGAGACAGGCTATGGTTCAGAGTCTGTTAATGGAGGACGTTCTTTATCACCAAGTGAGGCAAGAAATGCCATCAAAGTCTTTGGAACTGTTGTGGCGTTTTTTGTTTTCTGCTGGTCAATTTCAGCTTATCGTACATTTGTGATCTACTTCAAACTCAAGGATGTCCACCCCGATGTGACAATGGCGTCGAGAGTATTGATCGTTTTTAACAGTGCGGTGAACCCTATCTTTTATAGTCTGTGGAAAAAAGACGTTAGACGTGAGGTAGAGAGATTGTTTGTGGGGAGAAGAAGAAATGCAATCCATCCAGCTACAAGTGCTAGTAATCCTTCATTTGTGATAACACAACAAGCAGCCACACTTGGGAATTAAATCACTGTAGACTCAATATACAGGAGCCGCCGGGTTGCACGAAGGCCGCGGATAGCGCTGTCCACTGGATATATAAATCTTGAACAGTCTGCCAGTGTATAGGGAGTGTCAATAATAATACGAAAGCTACCTGAAAAATACAAGGAGAATATACCTTTCCCCTTTTGAGTGAAATTTTGATCTAGACAAGTCTGGACAAAAATGTCATCACAGCTTGAAAGAGCATCACAAAATTAGTAATATTCCGAAGTTTCGTTACGAAATGTTGTAAAATGCAGATCAGTCATTTTGTAGTACAAACGGGAAATTGATAATCAGATGATCAAACTGATGCAAAATGTTAGATTGTAATGCAAAATGACTGAAAAACGGCAAACTTCGCAAGGCTATATTATCCGCATTTTACAACATTTCGCAACGAAACTTCGTGATGCTCTTTCAAGCTGTGATGAAATTGTTGCCCAGGCATATCTAGATCAAAATTTCACTCATAAGGGGAAAGATCAATTTCGACGTTTCGAGCGAAAGCCCTTGGTCGTGAAGTTAGTGTCTTCGCTGGAAACGTCGAAGTTCTCCTTGTATTTTTCAGGTAGTTGTATCCCTGTCAATCCAAGCGTTATATCCACTGGATAGTAAATTTTGAACCGTTGTAAAAATGGTTGAAAAGCTAGAAGACTACGGAAGTTCGCACTTGATAAAAAGAAACTTTGGAAAGCTTGAAAAATCATTATCCGGTCTTTGCGTGGTAAAAAATGTAATTGGGTCCATGGCCTTTTGCGACACTACTGTAGTACTGATAACTACGATTATTAAACTGATTAAATAAGTTTTAACAATATAGTGATCAAATGGTATAGATGGGCAGAGACGCCGGAACTGGGGGGCAGGAGGGGCAGCTGTCCCTCTTGCCTTTTGCTAGGAGGGGCAAGGGGGGGCAGAAGTATACTGAATACTACCTGATAAATCACATTTCCAGTGATGCTTTTTGGGCAAAATCATGAGGTGTGATCTTGAATGTGACCTGATTAAGTGCGTTTACTTTCATTGGCAAATCAACACATAATTGTAGGTTAATATCTTCACCGGGGTCTATAAAGGTGCCCCTTTGGTATGCGTTTGCCCCCCATTGCCTTTTTATCTTTCCGGCGTCCCTGTAGATGGGCCTTGCAGAAACCTTCGTCTCAAATGATATAACTGACAAAGAGGCTGCATAAGAATTTTTAGGTTCACTGTGAAATAGACTTCATCGTGCTTTCTGCCGTTGCACACTTTCTCATTATATTGTGAGAATACAAAGCCTAGTTTACACTATCAAAGTTTCTGTGATCAGAGTAGAAATTTTGCATCGCTAAATAGGCAATTCCAGCTTTTAGTCTATGCCTGCAGGGGATGATGGGAAGTGATGTATCATAGTGCTGATCATGCTGAAAAATTTCAATAAAAACTGCCGAAACAACCGAAATATTTCAATATTTACAAGTATAAGCTATCACTCTATTTCTATTTTCCATTTCTATTTTTTCAGCATAATCAGCAATATGATACCTTTCTTCCCATCCACCCCTGCACGCATAAACTAAAAGCTGGAATTGCCTATTCTAAGTTTTGAAGCGGATTTGTAAGAAATGTTTGAGAAGTTTGACTCATGTGTTAACACTGACTCAGTTTCCTCAAACATTTCTTACAAACCCTTCAAAACTTAGAATTTCCTATGCAAAATTCCTACTGTGATCACAGAAACTTTGATAGTGTAAACCAGAGCCTTAACTATAGAGCATATCCGGCTCATGTATAGCAATGTCGTTTTATATAGTCAAATAAAGTACGTTCAAAATATCCATGAATGTTCTCGGTGAAGTGTTCTAATACCAACGCCTGTGTTCTAAAAGTTCACTCACACTCAAAGAGTGGAGGTTCAATCTGAGCTTCTCTTGAGTATCAATGCTGTTTTTGAATATCGCTGAAGAGTGAGTATAGTCACAGAGTTAAGTACGACACTAACTCCCCCCAGCATTGGCACTCGAGTATATAACAGACAACTACAGTGGTATATAACAGACAACTACAGTGGTATATAACAGACAACTACAGTGGTATATAACAGACAACTATTGTGATGTACAAGCGTACGAAAACCAGCCTAAAGCCCATTATTACTAAAGTACAAATAATACAATAATTATGCATTTGTTTTGTTATTTTTGTAATTGTAACATTACAAATTTTACAGAAATTTTTTAGCCTTCGCCCAGGTTCCCAGAAAGAAAAATTTTTTTTCCACCCCTGGTATAGTCACAGAGTAAAGTACGACACTAACCCTCCAGCTATTCAAAAACAGCATTGACACTCAAGAGAAGCTCAGATTGAACCTCCACTCTTTGAGTGTGAGTGAGCTTTTAGAATACAGGCGCAAGTGTCTTTATTATTAAGGACAAGTATAGCACGCTAACTCTGCCAGATCATGCGTGATTGTATTTCTTAATCCCAATGGACCTATTCCTTAATGAACAAAATTTTGATCTAGACAAGTCTAGACAAAAATTTTATCACAGCTTGAAAGAGCATCACAAAATTAGTAATATTCCGGAGTTTCGTTGCAAAATGTTGTAAAATGCGGACAATATAGCCCTGTGAAATTTGCCGTTTTTCAGTCATTTTGTATTACACACGGGAAATTAAACCGCTTTCTGAAAAAAGGTATCAATTTCCCGCGCGCAATACAAAATGACTGAAAAACGGCAAACTTCGCAAGGCTATATTATCCGCATTTTACAACATTTTCGCAACGAAACTTCGGAATATTACTCATTTTGTGATGCTCTTTCAAGCTGTGATGAAGTCTTTGTCTAGACTTGTCTAGATCAAAATTTTGTTCATTAGGGAATAGGTCCATTTCTGGATTGGATGTAATATTTCAAAGGCCGACTTTGAGGACTGGAGTAGATTTCAAGTCCGCGTAATTCAGTTGATCAAGTCCGAGGCGAAGTCGAGGACTGGATGAAAATCTAGTCCAGTCCGAATTGGAATCTAGTCCAGTCCGAATAGACAATTCCCATTATAGACTAATTTTAAAACTAGGCAAGGAGATGCAAATAAATCACCACAGCTAGAAAGAGCATACTAAAATTAGTAAAATTGCAAAGTTTGGTTGCGAAATGTTGTAAAATGCAGAAAATACAGCCTTGCAAAGTTTGCAAATTTTCAGTCATTTTGTATTGCGTGCGGAATTCCTACCACATTCGGGCCCAAATGTGGTAGGAATTTCCGCACGCAATACAAAAGTATACAAAATTTGCAAACTTTGCAAGGCTATATTTTCTGCATTTTACAACATTTCGCAACCAAACTTTGCAATTTTACTAATTTTAGTATGCTCTTTCTAGCTGTGGTGATTTATTTGCATCTCCTTGCCTAGTTTTAAAATTAGTCTACTGGGAATTGTCTATTGGAGGATTTGAAATGACATCTCATACGAATAAATCACTACTTGAAGTGAGGTGAATTAATTTTGATTCAGTCCTAGGACTGAATTAATCTTCAATATACTTCACCAGGTATCCATGTGAGCAAAATAAAGCAACATGACTGGCTAATTTACTCATGAATTACTAATGAGTTTGAGAAACAATGTTTCTTTTAATATCTACGGTGTAACTATTTTGACAACTACCCATGGGCAGACCATTATATATTTTTTTGGGGAGGGGGATGAGAAATCCTAAAAATGGTTTTCAAGTCCAAACAAAGTGTTTGCACATTATGAGAAACGAAAGAGGTTGCAAACTTGACAAGCTCCTAGCTCGACAATAAAATTCATTGTTTGCAATGACAACAATACACAAACAAATTTCTTGTGTTGAAGAAATGTTCAAACCCCTTCTCAAAAAATAATGCTCCGTTCCCAATTTCGTGGTTTAATGGACAACTTGCATGTTAGACTAAATTTTAATCTAAGTAAAGAGAAGGGAATCAAACACAACAGTTAAAAAGAACATAATGAAATTAGTAAAATTGCAAAATTTGGTTGCGAAATGTTGTAAAATACAGAAAATATAGCCTTGCGAAGTTTGCCTATTTTCAGTATATTTGTATTACATGCGGAAATTGTTACCACTTTCGGCTCAAAAATGGTAACAATTCCCGCATACAAACATACTGAAAATGCATAAACTTCGCAAGGCTATATTTTCTGTATTTTACAACATTTCGTAACCAAATTTTGCAATTTTACTGATTTTAATAAGCTCTTTACGGGAATTTACTTTTTTTGCCTAAATCAAAACTTATTAACATGCAAGTTGTCTATTAACTGATTAAACTAAACCAGAAATCCGTCAACTGTTTTTCGATCACAAACTCGTAGTTTATGTATGTGTGTTTATATTACAACGTATCCCAGCGCGTCAGTTTGAAAGATCTTAAGGCAGATTTAAACTATAAAACTTTTGCCTAAAACTGTCGCTGCAACCTGCTTACAACTTGAGTTGTACTGTGTAAATCAAGCACACAACTCAACTACGTTGTCGTATGTTAGTTGTGAGCTTGATTTAGACAGTACAACTCAAGTTGTAAGCAGGTTGCATATGACAGTTTGCAGTGTAAATCAGCCTTTCCATCTGTTAATAAAAACCTGAAGTTTCAAAGTTTTCATTTATTTTCAACCTCGCAAAGTTGAACTCAGCCTTGGTCGTTAAATTTCCAAACGAAATCGAATGTATTTATAGTTCACAAGGGTCAAGGTTATATGACGTAGAAAGCATGACGTCATAATGATGACGTCACGGTATTTCCAAAGATCGTCTTGCCTGCGTGATGGCGTGATGTGTGAGTGATACTTGCCGTTTCACTATTTCCCATCTTCCAGAAGTGTTCGCCACTAACAGCGCATCAGATATTCCAGCCAAAGTAATATTCGGGTATCGGTAATTCTGAGAAATGCCATGAACGAGATTGCGCATATCAGACCTATCTGGTATTGGCTCTGGGGAGATGAACAGTTTATTGAATGCACTCATACGTCTGTTTAGGATCCGAATTTGTTCCGGGTGTGTTTTAGGGTTAGTTTGATTTTTAATCTCTTCAAATTTTCGTCCAGCTTTGGCGAGCTTGTTAACTTCTTTATATAGTTCACTTAAAGAAATTCCGTGTTCTTTAAGCTCCTTCGCATAGACAAGCTTTGTTCTGTTTACAATTTGTCGCAATGAGCTTGTAAATGAATTAATATTGAAGGGAATGAGTTGCAAGTTGGACAGTTCATACAGGAGTCTTGCAGCGAGCTTCGTCTGAGCGAGATGAAACAGAAACTGAGGGTCAAACATGGATATCAAGTGATAAGTATCGTACACTGTATGATAGGCTTGGGGTAATCCATAGGGGACTTTCCCGTATTGGAGATCAATACTTGGAACACCTGAAATACAACAACGTTGAATTAGAACACACAATTAGAACGTCTGTTAGGTTCAACTCGGGTGTCTAATTTTTTGCTCATGGAAATCATTGCGATGAAGAAAATTTTCAGATTGCTTTGCTTCGCGTTAATAGGGGTACAAACTACTAAAAAAGACAAGGAGAACGCTTCGAATGAAGGACCTTCGTGGCATCCCTATCAATCCCATGTTTTCTCATAATGGGCACTTATTAGATAGCTTAAGATGTACGACGTCGACGTCAGCTAGGACGTCAGGGCTAAGCAAAGGACTGGGACTAGGACGTCGTACTAAATAAATAAACTTCCACTTAAGTTTCACGACGTAGGTATTTAAACTATAAATATTTACATCCTTTTGAAAATGAATTTAAAAGAGCCGTGTGAATCATTACCGTTTGTTATTGTATTTACGACGGTAAAACTCTTGTTGCGAGGTTGTCGACGTTTGGTGGACGACGAGTAAATTGAGAGAGACACATGCACACTTCAAAAACTATTACCAATTTACTTCTGCTTGCCGCCCTAAATATTAGACGTCGTAGATAATTGAGCTATCTACTTATTTAGGACGACGTCCTAGTCCCAGTCCTCTGCTTAGCCCTGACGTCCTAGCTGGCGTCGACGTCGTACATCTTAAGCTATCTATTGTCCAGTGTGGTGACGCCCAGAGTACTCATCAGCACAAATAATCTTACCTGCCATTTCATAGAAAGGGATGTAATCCGAGCCGAAGGCCGATGTATAAAACTGAGGCCTATCTGTCGCAGCTGGATCAGGTCTACCTTTCTTCCACACTGAATAGATACTCTCTTGAGGCCCATGTGGATCAGACACCATCTTGGATTGTTCATACACCAAGTCTACCATCATCGGATTGCCGCACACTTTCAGACTTTCGTTACCATGAACTAACACATCCATGTTGATGTAAGCGACGGCTCTTTCTTGAAGAAGTTTCTTGTTATCTTGAACGTATTCTGTCGCGCCTATCATTCCCATCTCTTCCGCCGCCCAACTACAGAACTTTATTGTACGTCTTGGTTTCCAACCTAGAGATCGACAGGAGGTTGTTAGCGGCCAATCTCGTTTCTCGTTCCTCGTTCAGCATTTAACATAAAAGCTCACTCACACTCAATGAGTGGAGGTTCAATCTGAGCTTCTCTCGAGTGTCAGTGCTGTTTTTGAATAGCTGGAAGGTTAGTGTCATACCTTACTATGTGACTACTCACCCTCCAGCTATTCAAAAACAGAACTGACACTCAAGAGAAGCTCAGATTGAACCTCCACTCATTGTGTGTGAGTGAGCTTTTAGAATAAACTTTACCCATGCAAAATTCCTACTTCACCTTCAAAACTTTACCCATGCAAAATTCCTACTGTGATCTCCGAAACATTGATAGTGTAAACCTGTCTTTAGAGTTCCTTTACGTTGAGGTAGAATCGTCTGAGATAGATAGATGGTGGATGGGTTTTCGAATATTCCATCTAAAAAACCTATCTTTCTTAATTATTAAGTATTTAAGAAGATTAAAACAAATGTTTTAAAATACTTGGCAAATGGTAAACTGTTCCATATCTGGGCTGAAGAGTGTCTGAACGAATGTTTTAAGTCTTCTCATTCTTCTCTGTTTTAAGTCTGTTCATTCTACAAATTTTATCTAAGTAATTTTCCCAACGAATGGTGTAGCTACATGCATGTGACAAACCGCAACCTTCGGCACTGACATTCATACGATTTCCTTATTCACTCGTCTCTCACCTTTTTTCAAAAGTTCTCCAATACCACGTGACAACTCCATCATACCAGAGGTACCGCTCCCAGCATCGACTGCACCGAATGTTATGGCGTCTCTATGGTTACCAATTAGAACCCAGGAATCTGGTTCCTCGCGGCCATAGACTGTACCAATGACATCATAGATCTTCGTCATCTCGGCCTTGGAGTTGACAGTGAGATGAAATGTCAAATTGTTCTTTAGGGTTGGTCCGACTCGATAATCTGTTGTGTTGTCTGTCGTCCAATCTGCTGGAAGTTGGCTTCCTATATAAATTGAAATTTACTTATGTTGATCTATTCCTGCCAGAAGCCTTGTGGTTGCATCAGACATCTCTACGTATATTTGCGTAGAGTAGCCATGATTATAGAGATTGGTGGTAACTAACTTTCTTCAACTGTTTTTCTTCAACTTTCTCAGCCAAATAAGCGTAACCGCTGGCACGCCATGATTCGTCACCAAAATGCTGACGCCATGGCCAGTACGCTTATGAGAGGCATTCACCCTCCGGGACGTTCGCCATTTTGAATATTATCAAGGGGGGGGGGGGATGCCTCTCGTAAGCGCACTGGCTAAGACCATGGCGTCAGCATTTTGATGATGAATTACAGTTACGCGAAAATCATGGGAAAAACCAAGAAGTCGGGCTTTTGTTTGTCTCTATTCTGTGCACATACCATCTAACTGTTGCAATAATTTCATTGCGACATCAGACTCAACAATTTGTACTGGTAGTTTAGCAGGCCAGTCTATATTCTCTAATCTATGCATCGCGTCACTCGCAGGGAGGTTAGGTGTCAATGGATCTCCTATTTCCCATCCGTTTCGCAAACCAAGAACCAGAGGTTGTTCCTCCGGTAATCTTGTTCCGTTCGGGTACACCGAACCATTTCCCGAGGTTTGAGACTGCCCGTCAAATATGAATAGAACTGCCGATGCATTACAATCGTGAGCGTTTTTCACCTGAAATAAACAATTATACAGTATAAAGTTTAGTTTTTAACACTGGATCAATAAGAGATGATCCTTACTGGACCTCTAGGGAGAACAGAGAACTGATAGAGCTGTCCAGTATAAATAAAGTTGGTTTAGTTTAATTTTTCTCTTGTAGTAATAATGGATCAATGAGAGATGATTCTTACTGAAACCTCTAGGAAGAACAATTTAGAACTGATAGAGTATATAAATAAAGTTAATTTAATTCTCATTCTGTAATTGGATCAATTAGTCAGTTAATCAGTCAACTAGTAATAAAAAATATATTTCATTATCTCACCTGTTCTAGCATTGTAAAATAGGAAAATTCCATCATAACAGCAGAACCATTACATGAAGTGATATTTATTTTGTTTAGATATTGAAAATCTTGTTTACTTCCTTGATGAACATACAGTAAACCACCATGGACACTGCCAGATGGAGAATAGAAGAAAAATCGAGGTATGCTCCATGTTTTATTACTGTCTGGGTCTGACTTGCCCTAGAGAGAAAAAGTAGCGGAATAGCTGATTCGAGCTACAGACTAAATTTTGATCTAGGCAAGAAGAACAAAATCCATCACCACAGCTAGAAAGAGCATGTTAAAATTAGTAAAATTGCAAAGTTTGGTCGCGAAATGTTGTAAAATGCCAAAAATATAGCCCTGCGAAATTTTCAAGAAATTTACCGTTTTTTTATAAGTATTATAACCGTCCTACCATATATATGCCCTACATTCTAATGAGCCATTCTAATTAGAAATTAATGTTAATTTCTAATTGGCGAAACGTCGTTCCAATAACTTTCCTATTCCCGTATTTGTCGTATAATTACTGTACAGTTTCTAAAATATGCTGCGCTTGCTCGAAGTAAAACGTGCGATTGCCGGCCCCAGAGAGTATAAGTCGTTGGGAAACAGTATTTAAACAGTGAATAATTTAGATTAATCATTGAAAAATTAGAATAGGTTTATAACTGCGCTCGCTTCTCCAGAAAGTGTAAATCGGGACTTTTTAATAGTTAGAATAAAGTTTATATTATCATTGAACAATTAGAATAGGTTTATAACAGCGCTTGCCTAAGAAATATTGAAATATTATTGAAATAAGATCTTAGCATTTTTGCACAAGTGAACTTAACAAATCCTACAAGTTGATTGGTCAAGTTTGACGTATTAACCTGTTATCACCTACAGGTGAATATAGCAAAATTTACAAAATGGCGGCTAGCCGCTACTGATCAAGAAATAAGCTAAATTAAAATAAATTCAGTCCCAAAAAAAAAAACACAAAAAACTTGTGTAAAAATACTAAAACAATTATTCGCCTCAGGCTCGGTGATTATCGGGGAATATTCCCCGATAATCACCTCGCCTTCGGCGAATAATTGTTAAATATTGGTATTACTCCAGATACTACCGTTTAATGTGATAATGAGATGATTTAAAAATAGTATATACAAAAAGTAACTAGTGACGTCATCATTATAATGAACCTACCACTGCAGCGAATATATGTTTCATTGTCACTTTCCCATTCTGATCTTTGATCTCCATATAATCTGGACTGTCATCTTTAGCTCGGGGTAATAAAACATCATACTCCAGTGTGTCCACACGAAAACCATAATTATCCCATCGTGTCCTTATTTCATCCGCAAGTTCCTTTGAACGTGAAGATCCAGCGAGATGAGGCTCGAGGGAAAAATATCTAGAAAAAAATATTGGTCGTCACGAAGCCATAACAAGGAGACTAAATAATACATTTTCTAAATAAAGCCAACCATGTTATTCATAGTCTGGTTTACACCAGCGGCCTAACTCATGGGCTTGGACCGGGAGAACCCGGGGGCCCCCAACCCCAATGGGCCAAATCGGGGCGCTCAGGCTATAGCCTATAGAGCGACAATGCCGTTTTCTGACCATCAGAATTCTGTAAAATCTCTCCCCAAAGTCCAGGAAATGGCATTTCAGAGACTCTAGATTCAAACATCTTCCGGGTGAGCATGCCCTGGACCCCTAGAAAACTCGTGCATATACGGCGCTCGACTTGTGCCTTTGGCACTTCTACTAGGGGGGGGGGGGCCTTCGAAAAGTTTGAACCGGGGGCACCCTGATATAACGTTACGCCACTGGTTTACACTATCAAAGTTTCTGTGATCACAGTAGGAATTTTGCATAGGTAAATTGTAAATTATGAAGAATTTGCAATAAATCTTTGAGGGAAGTCAGTATTAAACTCTGAATCAGTTTCTTCACTAAACATTTCTTACAAATCCTTCAAAACTTAGAATTTACCTGTGTAAAATTCCTGAGAACATGGTCACGGTGTACTCGGCGGACATTTTAAATGAAAAAAAACTACATGGCAAGCACAATTAACAGAAAAAATACCGCGGCCGTCTATTTTCATTAATTCACTGTTAAGATGGTGCCAAATTCCCAGGCGTTAGTTGTTGACCTTTTTTTCTGAAAACGTTAGTTTCGTTCGTTCTTAATGAAACAATAAATAGTTATTAATTAAACAATAATTAGTTCTTAATAAAAGAATAATTAGTTCTTAATTAAACAATCAGCCAATCAGCGTGTTAATTAGAGTACAGCATATGGTTGGACATGCACGTATGTGGTCTAATGATGAAATATTCTCTGAGTAATAAACCTTAAGAACAATCTTCACTCAATGTATACAAGACGACATCTTCATATTAGTTCAATACGGAGATGTGTTAGATATGCTGAAGCTTCAGATATTTTCCAGTATAATCTGTTATGATCTTGGTTCATAGTTATAGCAGCCCCCTCATGTAGTAAAGAAAATGATTTAATAGTTTATGTTGACACCAAAAACACGGGAACCACTGTGACATTCTCTCGCTTAATACGACTGTTTCAGCAATATTCCTGATCAGTAATACTAGTACATAGTCGAAAGTAGAGAGTATTAAAATGTCTGCTGTTTTGTATTTTATATTGACACCCTGCTGTTTTATTTAGCACAATATTTGCACTTTTTTAGTTCGGCAGTTTAGCTGTAAATTGCGCTGTAGTTATCAGTTCAAACTGCTCATCGTATGGAAATAATTATTTCGTAATATTTTACGTATTCTTGGCAAAATATGTTAAATTCATTTCAACCATTTAACCTCTAAGCGTGCTGAGTGTATTAACAAGAACTAAATTAATAAGGCAGTGTTTAATTAATGAACTAAATTTATTTGTTGCCGTCATTACTATGTTTAAATGATTCTGGGATTATATGGGCAGACATATACTCCCTTACTAATTTACATATATCACGTCGGCGAACTGATGGCACAGAATAAAGATCCATACAGAAGGGCCACTTACATCGGAAGCTTTGAAGTTTCTGTCCTCGCGCATGTCGCATTACGCCGGTTTCCTAGCCAGTCAATGACACTTTCTGGCCAATAAACACGCTTTACTGGCTGGCTGCTCGGCCTTCTGGCCAGTAAACTGCATATTTTTGCATAAAAATCCGAGGACACGTTGCACCGCTGAGTGGCCCTTCTGTTACTGATCTTTATTCTGTGCTGATGGCTTCAACTGCACTGTAAATTGTGTTACCCAGCATCGTATAATGTTTGCAATTGCAGTCTTACCCGGAAATTTTACACTTTACCGTACCGGAGTAAATCACTATACGCCATCAAAACCCGCGATAAAAGAACGGGGAAACTCGCCATCAGAACACTGAACACACGCCATCAAATACTTGCGGTATACGGGTGCTGTATGTAAATCGGTCTTTACCAATTGTGGAGATAAATGGACATTCTAGATATTGCATCGTTTACTTTCATACGTTCACAACAGTAGTCAAGCGGCAAGTGCCTTTCACCTTTAGGTTCGATCGTCGCTACAGACTGATGTGAAAAGTCTACGCTCTGTCGAAAGTCATAGGTTTTCTCCAGGTGTTGCTGTTTCCTCCCACAGGGTAAGTTGACAGGGTGGGTTAGGAGAAATTCACAATTGTTGTAAATTAAAAGATAAAATAGTCTAGGCTAAATACTGATAATTAGGTAAGCGTAATACTTGATGTAAAGCACATTTGATCATATCATATGGAAATTTGCGGCTCGTAATTGTAGACCACATGGAAACCAGGCTTTATCTACTAATTAAACCTTTATAATTAAAACTTATACAAGATAAAGCAAAGATAATACAAAGATAATGCAAAGATACAGACCAGCTGAAAGTACAAGAAATGCTAATTAAAACTATATAGTTATATATAGCGAGCATGCGGAATCTTCAATAACATTCAGATCATACCTAATATTTCTCCTGATTTCCTCCTTATCAAGGACATTAAGAAACGTTTGACGGTTTGTAGTGTGATCTCTGCGATGATTGACGACTGGTTCATTATTCGCACAGGTTTCATTCTTTGCAAAAAAACCGATAACTAAACCAACCGCAAAGGCTAGGATAGTCAGACATGCGCAAAGGATGATAAATCGTAATTTTCCGGATGGAGTGGAGGTGTTTAAACATTTTTCTGTGTCACTGTTAAAGTTCAAATCGTTTTCCTCGGAGGACAAGTTGATCGCATTGTTAGGATACTTGCTTCTTACTTTTACCATTCCGAAAGCTACAACTGTAAGTGTAATGGATACTCCACAGTTGGATATTTCTGCAGTAAACTCTGTTGTGATGATTCTCTTCAGAGGATGCCTTAGGATGTTATTATCCGAATGACAATATGATATTATTCAATACTTCGCTCTGGTTGTTTTCCTCAGTCAATAATCCTGTCCTTTAGCATTTCGTATAAGTCTTAATTGTATTGATGATTTTAGTAGTTCGTATAAGTCTTAATTGGCTTGGTGATTTTAAATTGATTCCGTCCTTACTTCAGTGTGATATTAGTCAACACTCAGATCCTATACTGGTTGTGAAGGCTCAGATCCTATGCTGGCTCTTTCCTTTACCGTGTAACTGATTCGTCTTTTATAATTCTTGGGTTGTTTTGTCTCCGTTCTAATGACCATGTGATGTTTTGACTTCGGAGGTATTTTTAATAAGGACTTTGTGTCTTTCAATGGCAAGCCTTTTCCTCTGTGATGATGGAGCTAGGATTTCAAGTGAACTTTGTCTTCTTTGTCGGAGAGGCTCAAGTATCTCCTTCAAGTGATTGTGTTTATTTTTCACTGGACAGTACGAGTATTCATGCATCAGATATCAAACAATTGGGATGAATGTTACTATAATTAAACGACTCATCACTTATATAGAGGCCCCCCTATACTTGATTTCTTTTTATACTTTTTTTTAAAATTGTTTTGTTGATAGAAATTTTTGAGTGTAAATTTTATACATTTATATTAAGCTCGAACCAGGATCGAGCAATGGATAATTCCCAGCAATAGACTAAATTTTGATCTAGGCAAGAAGAACAAAATCCATTACCACAGCTAGAAAGAGCATGTTAAGATTAGTAAAATCGCAAAGTTTGGTTGCGAAATGTTGTAAAATGCGGGAATATAGTACGCGCGTGAAAATGCACAACATTTGGGCCGAAAGTGATGCATTTTCCCGTGCGTAATACAAATTCAAAATTTGCAAATTTTGCAGGGCTATATTTTCCGCATTTTACAACATTTCGCAACCAAACTTTGCAATTTTACTAATTTTAACATGCTCTTTCTAGCTGTGGTGATGGGTTTTGTTCTTCTTGCCTAGATCAAAATTTAGTCTATAGCTGGAAGTGCCTATTGGGGAAAGTGGAACTGCAGACCCTCTGGTACCCTCTATATCTTAACTGGAAGTATTCTAGGACATGAGAGTTTTAATGAAAGGATGATCGCGTATAGGATTCTTTTTATACTGATTATACAGAGATGTAACTTGAGCCAAACATTGATTGAAGACATTTGATAAATGTTTTTTGGGAGGTTTTTTGTATTTGAGATATTTCAAGATGATTTCATAACATATTCTCCTAAATACATTTCCTGTATTGTCTAATGTGAATGTAATGATGATTTGACCTTTCTTCTCATAAGGGCTGCCACATGGCCATTGGAAATGTGTGTATTGTTTTTTCACCCAACCAAAACATAGGTATTGATTGCTCTGGTGAAAATGCAAAACAATAGTTAATGAGGTTTGTTATGTATGCATCGAGTTTCCTATAAACCTTCTTATTCTATTGACATGACTTGAAAATGTCCACGTTTAAACATGTTCTTAAATCTTCTCAAGTGGATTTAAACTGTTACTGAGTCCTTGGTTTGCAATCTAATCAACACTTTGTATTTCTGGCACTCTACTTCTATTTTTTATGCAACATTCAATGTATCAAATTTTCCTATGTTGCAACTTTAATGAGACCTTCTTAATTCCTCAAGTACTAATTGTGACGCGCGTTCTTTCATATATTCTGTTGGAGTTCATCCAGAAATGGCACTCGTTGTGCTAGGGAAAGTTCATCTTCTATTGTGGCGACTCCGCACTTCTTGCCAATGGGTAAAATACAAGACTGAGACTAACTCAGCGTCTCAGCCGATCACTCTTGTCAAAATAGGACACACAAGTATACAACATTCAATCAATATCAAATGTTCTTATTGTTGCAATTTTAATGGAGCCTAAACTCTTCAAGTACTCATACATTATCGTAATGGCTGTATTTACTTTGCGATCCATCTGGCATGCATCTCATCTTTCAAAACACTTGACCCTCGCTAACGGCACTATTCACATTTGCAATAGTTGAAATTTCTAAACAAAATATCTCCACATTTCTCGTGTTTTGTTTACAATTAAAATATGTCTTGCCCGTCACAATATCCCATTGTGAGCAGAAAACTGCAGTTGTTGATTTGTCTTAATGTAAATGTTTTCTTCTGTATCATTGCTGTATATACTGTAGGTCGAGCTGTATGTCCATTAGCTGTAGGTCATCGAGCTGTAGCTCATTCTTTACAGTTTTTAACTAGATATCTCACTCATATTTTACCCATATATACTGTAGGTCGAGCTGTATGTCCATTAGCTGTAGGTCATCGAGCTGTAGCTCATTCTTTACAGTTTTTAACTAGATATCTCACTCATATTTTACCCATATATACTGTAGGTCGAGCTGTATGTCCATTAGCTGTAGGTCATCGAGCTGTAGCTCATTCTTTACAGTTTTTAACTAGATATCTCACTCATATTTTACCCATATATACTGTAGGTCGAGCTGTATGTCCATTAGCTGTAGGTCATCGAGCTGTAGCTCATTCTTTACAGTTTTTAACTAGATATCTCACTCATATTTTACCCATATATACTGTAGGTCGAGCTGTATGTCCATTAGCTGTAGGTCATCGAGCTGTAGCTCATTCTTTACAGTTTTTAACTAGATATCTCACTCATATTTTACCCATATATACTGTAGGTCGAGCTGTATGTCCATTAGCTGTAGGTCATCGAGCTGTAGCTCATTCTTTACAGTTTTTAACTAGATATCTCACTCATATTTTACCCATATATACTGTAGGTCGAGCTGTATGTCCATTAGCTGTAGGTCATCGAGCTGTAGCTCATTCTTTACAGTTTTTAACTAGATATCTCACTCATATTTTA